CGATCCAATTAAGGAATATTTCAAGAAATGTGAATTCTTGCAATATTTCTCCTCACATTTTATCTGGTTCTACTGGATGTTGTCACCTCCGCATTTGCATGCTCTGTGACAGTGTAGCAATTGGGCATCATATGTAGGTGTTTTTTTTATCTACACAACTCTTCTAAAGGTTATTTTAAAATAGGTAGTGTATTCTGACACGATCCTACAATATGAAATACATGTTTTATCCTGAAATTTTTTTAAAAAAAATCAATTATTAGATTTATGCTGTTATAGTGTATAAGTATCATTTCATTGATACAATATAACTCTAAAAATTATTAAATAAGAGAAAAGTGGATGTGGAAGAGGGTTTTTTTTTTTGTTCAACTACACCTTGCAATTAGGCTTAAAATGGGTTTGTTGGAGTTAGGAATGGCCAGAAAATAGCCGGGACAACAGAAACTATTTTTTGGCTATGAAAAAAAGGCAAGCACAGCTGCAAATGCTACAACCTTCAGCAACCTCCTCACTCATATCCTTACCTGGAGAAATGTTCAATAGTTAAGATGTCATCATTCAAAAGAATGTTATGATGCGTTGATTCAATGCATAGATGTGAAATGGGAATAGACTGATTTGTCCCATCTCTGGCATATTATGTGTATACGACAAACATGTATGCATCATGAAAGCCATTGTGCATCTAGATTAGGTGGGCAACTGCATGAGAGCCAAGGAACAATTCATCACCCGGACCCTTCTGTGGACTACAACCCCCAGTACACCAGAATACCTCTGTTTTTTTCAGTTGCTCTCAAAAGTTTTGGCCAGAAGTGATGTTTTGTTACTTCACGTCACCATTCTGAGAAGCACTACAATGAAAAATTAGGATTTGGCTGTGATCTGGAGTTGTTTTTGCGTGTTGTCGCTTGGTTTGGTGACTTTCTACATGGTTTAGGGGCAAAACCCATCTGAAAACCACATCAAAATCTTTTTTTTTCAATTGACCTCATCTTTGAAGCCAATGCAGAAGTGAATTCCTTATTATTTTTGTATGCTAATTTAGGATAAAATGATCCGTGGGAGTGATTTCAATCAAATACTAGTTGGAATACTATTTCACAAATTACATTTCCCAAGGGAAATATCCCACACAGAAAAAACATGTATCTTTTATGCCAGGTTTCACAGGATCCCTTGGCTCCTAGATGTTAACACCGATAGTTCCTTATCATTAGCCTTGCCTAGTGAGGCTGATGGGAGTTGCAGGGCAAAACATCTAAAGGAACAAAGGTTTCCCATCCCTGCTTTACAGATTTTATGAGGCTGCAGGTGTCAGCTTTAATTATCAGATGTGTTATGGAAAGTTAGTAGGCTGTTTCATGTAAAGAAGAAACAAAACAAAGGCAATTGAAAGTCAAGAATGGAACAGAGAATATCTTTCATTATATATTAGCATATCTCAGCTTTGGTCATACACCTTCAATCAAATGGTTTTGTTGACTTCATATATCCTAACAACCATTTGTGATTTCATGTATTATATTGAATTTCCCAACCAGCAGGCTTCTGTACATGGCTGTTTTCACTGTACATGAATATTTATATTAAACTTCAGCAATATAATGTAGGACCGTGAGAGAAGGAATCATGAATGGAACCCAACTCATTCTGAAAATGATGTGAGTAGTTTCGACTGATAACAGAATTGGGTCTTGAGCACTGTTTTCATGCTCTTACAGCAAAAAAAAATCTATGCAAATTTACTCTCAAATATACGAATATTTACAATAATTACGAATATATAAATATCTTATTGATACCAGTGAAACAAATTCCTGTGTAAGTTCAATTGAGACAAATACGGAACAAAAAGGCAGGCATAGTCAACATGGTGTGGCCAGGAAGAGACTGCTTTGGCCTGGCTGGATCATCACCTTAACATCCTTATTTCGTTGTAACTCCGCTTCTTCTCCTTGGTCATGTGGGTGTCTCTGTGATGTCAGCATGGGTCACCCGTGACAAGCAGGGCCTTTGCTGATCAGCACAGGGAAAACGGGATGGCAGCAGATGCTTGTTTGGACTGCATACAGGTCCATATTGGACCTGGTACTTCCAACCATATTGTGCCCAAACTCCAGGATTATGGTCAGACTCTGAAATATTCCTGACTTTCCTTAATGTGGGCTAAACAATATTAACCTGGTTTACCCTGTGATAAGGATTAGAAGTCTTTGAGTACCATAAAGTCAGCCATGAGCAGTTTCATGGTGAGTTGGTGTAGACAAGCCCTTAGTTATATGCCACTCACAAACATGGATAACTTAATTGGTTTTCCCAATTTATTTAAAAATAAATGCTTTATGTATTAGTACCTGTGGGTGCTTTTGACATTTCAGGAAGCAACAGGTGCTCTGAAACAAAACAACTGATGTCTTTAGTGTTTAATATGGATTTTGCTGTCACATATCTTTATTCAACTCAGCCTTTATTCCAGTGGAACTCAGTAGACAGGCAACAATATAGTTCCATTATCTCTTGTAAAACATTCACAAGTTTAATTGATCAAAGATATTAAAGAAATCAGCTAAACTTCCTGAGCCTGATAGAGAATGACAAAAATGAACTAATGTATTGTTCTTGCAGTGCTTCCCAAATTGCTAATATTACATATGAAGAAAACCGCCTGACCTGTTTACTATTAAGGCAGCGTTCCCTAGTCTGATGCCCTCCAAATGTGTTAGACTACAACTGTCATCATTTCAGCAAACACATCTGGAGGGAGACATTTGTGGGCAGGGAGAGAAGTTGTGTTCAGATGTTGGCCATGTGCAGGCCTGGGGCTTGACAGTACTGCCAAAAATTACCAATCTGATTTGTGACCCTTCACAAGGCAATGTATATACTGTAAGTTCACTTGTTTTCCTTTCACAACTCATTAACAATATATAGAATCAGAACCCTGACTGAATTTTTCACCCATATGTTTGGCCTGTAGGTATTTACTACTCATGTTTGTACTTGCTGACTCCTATTTTCTACACAGCATTTAGCAGCCATATTTATATCGTATTATTGCTCTATAGAGGCAATCTGTACTCAAAATCATTAACTTTATATTTCTATGTGTATATAAATCAATCTCTAAGCTGGTTTATTCTCAAGCAAACTTTATTGATATTGATAAAACTAATGTCCATGTAAGTATAGATGAAACTGCATCTTTACAGTATATTTCTTTATAATGGAAATAAATGTATTCTATAAATGAAAATGCAGTATTGTGCCATTTCTGAACTAGAGGTGATAATAATTGTACACGTTATTCATTCTAGGGCTGGGATAGCCATTTTCTTTGGGCCAGTTACCCAGATGCTCTGTGGACAAGCTTGTTGACCGCCTTCCAACAATGAAATCATCCCTTTGTAGACTGATTTGGGCAGAAAATGTTTGATCTTGGAGGCCCAAAGTAATCTTCATTGTAAAAGAAAGCACCATTCCAATAGAGGAATACCTCTAGGATTGTAACTCTTGCTCCAGTCATTGCTTCTGGCGAGAATGCTCTTGTGACAACAGACTGGCTCAATGTCATCCAATTTCAGGGTTAAAACTTGGAAACGGGGAGATGGCATTAACTGTATTTAATGATTGTTCAGTTTCAACGGCTCTAGCAGTATGTGTGAATGTGTAGATGTTCTTCATGTTGCATATTACTCAGTGGTCCTGGAGTATGCCTCACCCAATAGTCAAAGTAAACAATACATTACCATGTTTGGGTGAAAAAATGTATAAATTGTAAAGCCTTCCCTCAGGATGCCCCCAAACATGAATGTTGGTTGAATTCAAAACATAGCCCTGTTAGTCTGGAATATCAGTACGCAAAGGGACCTTATAGTATCTGAAAGACTAAATGAGAGATGCACCTGAGGAAGCATATATGAAAACCTGTTATCGACTTTGTTCTCTCAGCTGGTCTTGAAGTTGATACATGACGGTAGAGTACATCTCATACCACCTGAATTTACTTTAAAATATTCCAGCCATTTCTACACAAGGTAGGAACAAACCTTAATGTTATTTATGTGCCACACTACTCTGTACTAATAAAACAAATTGGGACACTGCCCAAGACCCCTCAAAATGATTTTCATGTTTATCACATTGTTTACATTGTGATTCAGGTCATTCCATATAGTATTCACATTTGGTGAAAAACCAATGACAAAGTAATTGGCTCTCCCACCCAAGTGAATATAGTATACATCAAATAGCTTATATTATGAGTCAGACCGTTCCATGTATTTTCCAGATTTTTTTGAAAATCCATTCACCTGTTTTGTCAGAATACACTGACAAACATAAACTTAATTAAACATACACAGAGAAGTCAAGGTGGTGGGTAGCACTGGGGGTGGGTTGAGGGGTAACTATACTGCGGGTGGCGGGTTGTCTATGTATGTGTATGTGTATATGACTGCATTGTATATGGTTGGTGTATTACTTTTTTAAAAAACTAAAAAAAATACACAGAGATAGGCAGGTTGACAGATAGTATATAGCATGTGAATGTGTGTGTGTGTGTGTGTGTGTCTATAGAGAAAGACCAGAAGAAACAAAGCATATGGATGTAAAAATGAGTTCAAATACATCATGCATTTTAACATTCACTTAAACCATCTTCACATCATTTTAAATCCAAAAGAAGAAACAGTAATGAATTCCATTTTTAGTAGATCTGCTTATACCATATGACAGTTAACTCAAAATAGCTGAAACCCTGCTGAACTCAGTTTTCCTGGACTTCCGTTGAAAGCATTGAAGCACTCCTTTGAGCTCTTCTGATCTCATTAAAACTGAAGTGTGACTAATTCATCAGCATAAGACCTTAAAAGATCTTTGTATTCAAATAGACAATAACATTATTATTATTATTATTATTATTATTATTATTATTATTATTATTATATTTTTGTACATATGTTGTATTATTTTTCAGCAATAGATTTTTCAAAAGGAATAGCTTACATAGAAAGGAATAGTTTCACATCTGGCTCTGTAAGAGAATTGTGTGCAGACATATTTTCTACTGAATTTGATCAAGAAAGGATGGGATACTGGAGTCTGGAGATGCTGTATTGTGATGACATAGAAGAAAAATGACATCATAGTTCCCTCTCCATATGCGCGCATCACTGTTTCTCACTGATATAGAGGCCCGAAGTCATATTTTATCCTTAGGAGAAAAGCAGAGGAGGACCTGTAAGCCTTCCTCCAGCAATCCCTACTTATCTCCAATAGAATATAGACTTAAGCCCGCGTACCATTTCTGAACACCACCGACATGTCCCGTTATAAGCATTTCCATGCCAAAACCCGGAATTCCCTAGATTTAGTTCCACTCGCTTCTTTTGTTCCTACTGAAACACCTGCTTTAGAAAATACAGCACGCCTGTAAGTAGTTGCTAACGTTTTCTATTCTAAATTTGGAATGGGCAGATGGGTGGGACAGGGATGAAAAGAAACCTCTGCGAACAAAGGTGCTTCATTAGTCACTTCTAGGGATCTATAGAATCTGCAGAGCTGCTGCCAGGAATTCCTTAAGAAAGGAGCTGTGATCGTAAATGAAGGGAAGAAATAAAGGATTCTCTGTGCATATAGTGTTCCCTCACTTATCGCGGGTGTTACGTTCCAGGACCACCTGTGAAAAGTGAAAATCCACAAAATAGGGACACTATATATGTATATCGCATTCCAAGCGTGAGGAGAAAGCGAGGACAGATTTAAAGGCACTACACACTTTTTTGCACTAGCTATCTCTGCTTTGCTTTGCAATCTCTCTTGATTGGCTGCCTCTCTCCTGAAGGAGGGTGAAACCCACTTCCACACTCCATCGTTGCCATGAGGTGGGATTAGAATGCTGCTCTGGGCAACAGCAACCATTCATAAACTGGAAGGACAAACCCACAAAACAGCGAGTCCACAAAAAGCGAACTGCAAAGTAGCGAAGGAACACTGTATATCTCCTTTACAGCAATACTTATAAGGATTTTATTATCCTATTTGGCTCATTTATATTAGCAATAACTTACTATCCCTGTCTTCCAAAAGCAATCAGTTTGCAGAGGGATCATGTAGCTTAGAAAATGAAGCTGATTAGCTTTAGTACACTGAAGCTGCATCTGTACTATAGCGGTAATGCAGTTTGTCACCAATTTAACAGCCATGGCTCAATGCTATGCAATCATAAGAGCTTGGTGTTTTGTTTTTTTGCAAGGTCTATAGCAGGGGTTGGGAACCTTTTTGACTCAGAGAGCCATGAAAGCAAAATATTTGGAAATTTATTTCAGTGAGAGCCATATAATATATTTTAAGACTGAATTCAACTAAATGTGAGTATAATAAGCCTCTGAATTTATTCTTTTAAATAATGTTGTTATAATACTCACCATTAATGCGACTTCTGGTGCTGCATGGATTTGCTGATGGCTTTGTAGTTTGGTTGGTACTTGGTGAGGTTAAGCTTCATGCAGGCGTTGAGGCTTTCATCCGTTAAACGTGATCGTAGGTTGGACTTGATGTTTTTAAGATGTGAAAATGACTGCTCACATGAATACGTAGATCCAAACATGGTCAATACAGCAATACTCACACGCTTCAGTGTGTCGTATGTGACAGGAAGCGCGTTCCAAGTTTTGATAATCAGCTGGTCTTCAGGTTGAAGTTTTTTCATTTCTGTCCACATGTGCTTGCTCGCCAACTCCGCTTTCTGTCGTGCGATTCTTTCCAAATCTTCATTCAGTGACTTGAACTTATTCACCCACATGTCTGAGGCCTTCAGGTCAGCCACTTCTGCTTCAAAATCTCTGAGGGAGACATCAGGAATGTAACTCAGGTCGGCTGTGTTCAGTGAACACTCGTTTGGATGGGTGATGAACTTAAAGAGATGAGTGTGCTCACGAAATTCTCCGAAGCGTGCTTTGAACGACTGTAGGAGACTGGATGTGAAGCCAGCTAGCTGGTGGAGATCAAAGTTTTGAGTGGGCTCACTTGCTGTGCATGCATCTTTAAATTGTCTCAGTTTTTCAAAATGTAGTAAACGACCCGTTTCAAGATCCATGATAAAGAGCTCCAGCTTGTTTTCAAAAGCAAACACGGCGTGTTGAAGGGATAACACTGTATTTCCAATGCCTTGCATTTTCACGTTGAGCTGGTTCAGATGTTCAGTCATATCCACGAGATAGTAAAACTTGAGGAGCCACTCAGTTTCGGCTAGCTCAGGATGCTCGATGCCTTTCATTTCAAGGAAATTCCGGATTTCGTTCAGGCAAGCCGCAAAACGGCTGAGCACCTTCCCTCGTGACAACCAACACACATTGCTGTGCAAAAGCAGACCATGGTAGTTATTTCCAACTTCATCCAGCAGTGTTTTAAACTGGCGATCATTTAAGGCTCGGGCAACAATAAAGTTGATCACACGAATGACCAGCGACATCACTTCGCCAAGCTGACCGTCACACATCTGAGCACAAAGTGCCTCCTGGTGTAGAATGCAATGGAAACTTAGGATGGGTCTATTTTCATGTTCACGGAGAAGCGCCACAAATCCTTTGTTTTTCCCCACCATACATGGAGCACCATCAGTACACACTGAGAGAAGTTTATCCATAGGTAGATTTTTTTCACGAGCGAACTCCATGAAAGACTTGAATAAATCCTCACCTCTTGTGGACCCTTTTATTGGCAGAACAGCAAGACTTTCTTCGCGCAGTGTGTCACCAGCAGCATATCTTGCAATCACACTGAACTGCGCCAAATGACTTACGTCTGTTGACTCATCCAAAGCCAGGGAAAAGAACGGCGCTGCATTTATGTCCTTCACTTGCGTTTCCTCCACTTGGTTTGCCATCATGATGGTACGATCATGAACAGTTCTTGCCGACAGAGGCATGTCTTGTATCCGTTTGATTATCTTATCTTTGTTCGGAAGATCATCAAAAAGTTCATTGGCTACATCCAGCATCAACGTTTTAGCATACTCGCCATCTGTGAATGGTTTTCCGTTCCTTACTATTGCTAAAGATCCAGCAAAACTAGCGGAATTATAGTCGCCTTGCCGGGTCCATACGCGGAGTTGCTGCTGGCTAGCTTGCACCCTGCTCAGCAGCTCTTGGCACGCTTTCTTCCTGCTGTCTCCCGCAGGGTATTTTGATGCAAAGGTAGCATGGCGTGTGTCGAAGTGCCGCTTTACATTCCACCGTTTCATCGATGCAATTTTGTCATTGCAGATTAGGCACACCGCAGAACCTGCTCTCTCTACAAAGGCGAATTCTTCAGTCCATTCATCCTGAAATGTACGATACTCATCATCTTTTTTTCTTTTCGCCATCTTCTTCGTTGAAGGGTTAGCTTTGAGCTAATGACCGAGCAGACTGATTCAAAAGGGGGCATTTACCTGTTTACCCAGAGAAACATGGGAATTGTAGTTTTGCAAGGCCTCAGGAAACTCAATGCTATGAAACATGGGAGTTATAGTTTTGCAAGGCCTCAGGAAACACAATACAACAAAGATGGGAACTGTAGTTTTGCAAGGCCTCAGGAAATTCAATCCTATAAACATGGGAATGGTGTCTAATTCCCTTTTTTCCCTTTCAGACTACATTTCCCGGCATCCCTTAGCCTGGAGGGCTATCGCGGGGCATGCCGGGAGCTGTAGTCAGGGCGAGAAGGGAGGCGGAAACGGCCTCGGTGCGGTGCAGTTCCCCCGGCGGCCCGAGAGGGGGCGTGGCGCGCTCCGCCCCTTTCCCTCCCTCGGCCAGAGCTTCGCTTCTCGGGCGCCGTAGCTGAAGAAAGGCCCCTCTCGCTCTCCCCTCTTCCCCGCTTTCCCTGCTCCGGGCCCGGCGAGGCCGCTACGCGAGGCCGGGGATCGGCGGAGGCGACTAGGCCGCAACGGGTCAAGGTGGGCTTTCGGTGGGGAAAAGATTCCCCGTTGCTTCCCTTCTCCCTTCCTTCCCTCCTCCCTTCCTTCGGGGCCTAATCAGCCAAAGGCGGGCTCAGTTCCTTTCCAAGGGAATACACGGGCGAGCCAGATGCACTCATCAAAAGAGCCACACCTGGCTCGCGAGCCATAGGTTCCCGACCCCTGGTCTATAGCCTTTTATGCCAAAGAATGCTGGTGTTTCACCAAACTATAAAACCCAAGGTTCCACAACATTAAGGGCCTGTTATAGCAGTGCCAAACTGCATTAATTAAACAGTGTAAATGTACCTTCAGTCCAATTGTTCAGATGCATAGAGTGAACTACATGGGAATATATTTTTATAGACAGACTGTATATGTGAATAAGGTAGCAATAAAAATGTCATATATACTTGAGGCTAAGCCGAGTTTTTCAGCCCCTTTTCCAGTTAAAAAATCCTCCCTCGGCTTATAATGGGGTCAAGGCTCCGAGCTATTGCTTGCAATATATAATGTATTTCTCTCTCCTTCCTTAACAGTGTGTTTTGTTTGCCAAAGCCTCCCTCACTCTGCTTCTCCTCCGAAGCTGGAGTTTCCCCTTTTGGAAACTCTTATTTTTCTAAGAGAGAGAGAAAAGAAGGGAATGTTTTGAGAAGGAGGGGGAGAGCCCTTGCAAGTCAGGAAGAAGAAAAAGATGGCATGGGTGGGAGGGGAAGAAAAAGATAAAGACTCTAGCAAATCTGCAAGTTCTATTATTATTATTATTATTATTATTATTATTATTATTATTATTATTATTTAAAAAGAGAGAAGAGAATGTTGTTCTTCCTTGGGCAAATGCATATTCCAAAGCTAGTAAACAATATATAGATTCCCCTCCCCCTTAGAAATCTTTGCAAGCCATGTCAACTGTGGGCTATATGCATATTCATCTTAAATATGTATTTCCCCTGAAATCTTTTGCAAGTCTGATTTCTGTGTATCTAACTGTATTAACTTTATATGTGCATTTTGTTCCTTGGAAGTGTTCACCGGCCCTTGCAAGCCCTATAGATCAAGATATAAATTGAGATAATCTGGAGAGGCGAGGCCCTGCTCTCGGTCTCACCTCCTCCATAGGCATGGTTGGTGGAACGAGAGACAGGGCCTTCTCAGTGGTGGCTCCTCAGCTATGAACCTCTCTCCCCAGTGATATTAAATTACCCCCTTTCCTCCTGACTTTCAGAAAAATTGAAATTATGGCTTTGTGACCAAGCATTCAGCAACAAATACAGTGAAATAGATGACTTGGGTTTATGTGTAATGACAATTGGAATGGCCCAGTCTTGATTGTGGATAATGTGATTTTATAGCTGTAAGTGGTATTGTTTATGTTTTAATTTATTTTAATCTCATTTAGATTTTTAACTAAATGTTATTTAATTGTTGAATTTTTAAGGCATTGAATTTTGCCTCTGGGGTAAGCCACCTTGCGTCCTCTTCGGGGTTCAGAAAAGTGGGCTATAAATATAATAAATAAATACATAAATAAGTTTCCATATATGCCTGTTTCTCCCTAGACGTATAACTCGAGTCAATAAGTTTTCCCAGTTTTTGTGATAAATTTAGGTGCCTCTGTTTACATTCGAGTTGGCTTATATTCAAGTATTTCTGGTGTATATACATGAATAGTAATAAAATATTATCAATAAAATATGATCATCCCCTACATTAAGCTAGGATTATTACCATATTTGAGTCTATTGGCTAAAACAACTTCTTTCTTACTAGGAAACTCACTAGGGACTAGCAATTGGTGGCCTATGGACCATTACCATAATGCTCAAAGAACTAACCATTACTGTTCCACTAACCACTGCTTTGAGCAGCACTCCACCAGGGTAAAAAAACTACACATTAACACATAGTGGAGAATTATTTTCTTTTTAACTGACAAAAACACAGGCAATGCTATTTCTATCAGGTCAATTGTACATACTAAAAGTCAGCCACCCCCAACTTAAATTGGAAATTACTTGAAGGCTCATAAAGAGTAAAAGAAAATTAGCAGGGGTGGTATTTAAATCTAACATGTGAGAAATGCAACCTGAAACAGAGTAGTCTCCATATGCCTGCTTTGAGTAAAAAAGAAAAGAAAACAATGTTCAGCTGCAAGCTACTTTTAACATACCAACCTAAATCCACTTCTTAGTTCAAATAGAGTAGACTCATTGAATCAGTGGCCTTTATATAATAATGATTTATCAGGTTCCCATTGATTCTGTGATTTTATTCAAGCCTGCATTGTTAGCTTATTTATTTATTTATTTATTTATTTATTTATATTTCAAACACTTTTACCCTGCCCTTCTCAACCCCTAGGGGGACTCGGGACAGCTTCCAACTGGCAACAATTCGATGCCGCATAATAAAATACAAAACATCAATTATAACAGTTAAAAGCATAAACATTAAGACATAAAGATTAAAACAGTATACTTACAGTCCACTGAGCTATTACCAGTCTAGTGGCTATTTATCTAGCCATATACTATGATTGAGTACTCCGTTTAACTTATCCATAATCCACTTCCAAGCCATAGTCAACATTGTCAATTGTCCTTTTAACCGAATTATCCGAAGGCCTGGTCCCAATCTAGGTGAGGAGGGATGATGATGACCTAATTTCCCTAGGAAGTGAATTCCACTGGCAGGGAGCCACCACCAAGAAGGCCCTATCCCTCATCCCCGCCAAACGTGTTTGAGACAGAAGCAAGGCTGGACTTTTTTAGGCCAGTGTGTAAAAACACAAAGTAAAACAATCTCCTTTTGGGGGGGGGGGCATAATTTCCATGTCATAAAAGAATTAGATTTTGCTTTGGAAGGTGGAGTATCTGAATTCAGGGAATATTTATTTATGTATTTATTTGTTCTTCCAATAGAGGTACATTAATCAATCATCACTGGCTAACACTGGTTTCAAATGTTAGCCCTCTTCTTGGTTTTTCCTGCTGATTACAAAATGGACCCAGTTTTCTCCTATCAGTTCTAATTTCTGAGATTCAGAATATATGGCATCTACAGACATCATCTGACCATCCACGGAAAACTATGATAACCATATCTAACTAACTAGAACTGATATATTCTATCCAATGCAACTGTCTGAATAAGCACTCCCCCCCCCCCCAAGGAACAGGCCTAAAAGTCAAAACAATAAGAATTTGTTTTGTTGAGCTGTGTTATTGAAGGCATCTCTTTAAATCTCTAGTTTAATGCTGTCCGCTCCCTTTGTATCCCTGGGAGGACTTTCACCAAATGAGAAGGAGATTGCAAAGGTAAGTGTGATAATTTCAGATGATAAGAACACAATGAAACTTCTGGCTAGTCTTCTAAAAATTACTTGTTGCAGTTTAATCTATGATGGTTAAAATCCCTTAATTGGCAGCAAGTATCATTGAGTTCACTTAAACTTAATTCTGAAGAAATGCATTGCACTTTTATGCAATTTAAAGGGAATGCAGATTGAGCAGCACTCTTCCTATAGGTCCACTTTTGAATGTATTTTGAAGACATTAAAACCAAAGCACTGGAAACACAACTTTAATGGAAAGTCACAGATAATTGTAGCCATACTATAAACTTGAAGCCAATGTTTAAAATTCACGAGTTCTTGCCTACTCCAGATACACAAGCACTTGGCAATTCAGCCCACAGGTCTCCTTCTGTTCTATGTCCCACTGCCACCAGCAGAATCTCTTTCTTTAGCTTCGACATGTGATTTATTTGAAAACCTTTTCTACTGCTATCACTCCTGTTTTTTTTTTTTGAGCGTATGTGCAGTGGGCATTCTTAGAAAATGGGGACAACAGAGGGCACAAAACAGTCATTTCCTGGAAGACTAGCAGGGGACATTTAAAGGGCCTAGATCCCATATGCAAGGAGGAGTACTGCAAAATGCAATCATTCTTTTAAGCCAGTTCTCTTTTGTTCAAATCTTCATTTCTGGCTTCCAGGAAAGAAGATGGAGCTGTGAACAGTGTCTTAGGGAGCCGGCTGAACACTGGGACATCCTTGGGGAGTTGAGAAATACTTTTTCAGAAATAAACAGGACAGATTCAAACACCTCACGGCTCAAAGGATCTCACCTTCCCCACTGAAACAGGAGAATGGGAGAGGGAGGGAAAGATTGCAAACCCCAGTAATGTTGACATGCAAGCAGATTCTTAAAATACTATATTTACACAAGACTGAAAAAACAAACTAAAAGATGCCCTTAAATCTGCTGCAAGTTACCAACTCCATGGACAAAAAACATCTCTGAAAGGTAAATTGCATTTTTTCCTCCTTTGGAAATTGTAGCGATTTTTTAAAAGGACTCTAAAAATCTAAATAATGGAACTATTCAAGAATTTTCTGGTGAGACCAATTCTAAGGGATGAAAGTGAATTAATTTTTTAAAGACTATGCTATAAGAACCATGGAAATTAAAATAGTTTGCCATATCTAAGAACTCAATAGCCTTAACATCCTGTGACCACATGGAGCCTCTTGACTGAGCCAAAACAGCAAATAAGACAAGAAGTGACCATAGAGAGTAATCGTAGAGATGAACCATAAAAAATAAAACCATAGAGTTTGAAATACAGCTTGAAATATAGAAAATATGGAAACAACTAAAAGAGCTGTAAGCAAAAGTGAAAGTGACCAAAAGAGGATCTTCAATAAATCTTCAAAAGTTAGATGTCTGGTTTTAAAAAGAAAGATAGCTTGATTACATACATGATTGCAAAGTCAACAAGACCAAAATTCAAAGATCAGAAAGCCCAGTAAGAAACTTTCAAGAAAGAGCCTTTTCCACAAGAAGAGCATCCAAAGAGGGAAATCTTGACCCAGTTAAGAACCATTACATATGAAATAAAAAGCCAGGATTGATAGGAGAATTGCACAGCCTGAAGATTATCTACAGAAAGGGCAACAAGAGATGAAGAAAGATATTCCACAGATGGCAAACACAATGAGTGGTATTTTGAAGCAGTAGAAACAGCAAAAACAGAAAATAAAAATAATTGAAGAGACTCTCTCCACAGAGAGTCAATCCAACTTCAAAGCTTAGAGTATGCACAAAGAGAGGTTGAGAGGAATATCAACATTTTATTTATTTATTTATTTATTTACAGTATTTATATTCTGCCCTTCTCACCCTGCAGGGGACTCAGGGCAGATTACAATGTACACATACATGGCAAACATTCAATTCCATAGACACACAACACATAGACAGACAGTCAGAGGCTACTTAACATTCCAACTTTCCTGGCCACCAAGGGAGCTGTCGCTTCACCGTCCATCTGCGACACTGATGAAGTACTTTCCGCATTCCCCTCATGCTTTGCTGGAGATTTTTTTATGGCCTCGTAAATTTGTTAAATTAACTTCCCCACACATAGGTGGTACCTAAATTTCCTACTTGGCAGATGCAACTGTCTTTCGGATCACAAAGGTCGACAACAAGCTACACAAAATTGATCAGAAGCTCACTCCGACCCGGGCTGGCTTTGAACTCATGACCTATTGGTCAGTAGTGATCTTAATGCAGCTGACACCCAGCCAGCTGCGCCAAAGTCCCGGTGCAGGAAGTACAGATAACAGCCACAATTTCTGGAAGTAGTGGCTGGAATCTGTGGTAGACCAGAGCAAGTGGTCGAGACTCAAATTGACAGGACTTTTAGGGTCCAATCCCAACATGTAATAAGGAATAAACTTCCAAAAGATGTGGTTGTGTTGTTTACAAGAAAGGAAGTATGAGACCAAGTTTTGCATCACCATGCCAATGATGTGATTGAAATAGGAAATACCAGGGTTGTAGTATTAAGAGAACTTCCACCTCAGACAATAAAGAAAATAAGACAGCCCTTTCCGCTGATAGATAAACTTAAGAAGAAAGGCTACAGATTCAGATGGGAAAACCCAGAAGGATTGATGCTATCTTATAAAGTACAAAGGTATTGGTTACCATCAGTCAGGAAGGCCCAGGATTTCTATAAGAAATTTTTAAAAGGCCTAGATTCAGAGAGCAAAACAAAAATAGAAGACCACGGAGAAAAAGAACATCCAAGAAGGCAAGAAAAGATAGCAACCTCAATAGATCCTGGATAAGGAAAATGTTCAACAACAGCAACAGGCCACTCCACATGATGAAGAATTGGATGACCATCTAATATTTCAAGAACAAGGAACCTAAAGATACTTTAAAAAATATAAATGGACTTAATTTACCAAACAAGAGGAGAAGAGCTTTTTATTATTTGCGAGTACCAGAAACAAAAAAGAAATTCCCACTCAAGATTTATGGATTACAAAAATGATGGACCTGGCAGAAATTGACAAATTGATCAGGTTTAGACAATCACCAAACCCGCCAAAATTTGAAGTAGTTGAATACTGTAATAATTAGAGATTGACAAATTCAGTAGGCTTATACAATCTCCAGATCCTTTCAAATTTGTACAAGAATGGCAGCCTTTTATTGGCTATATAAAAGGAGAAAAGAAAATGAAAATATTGGGTTTTCTATAGCACCAAGGGAAAATTAGTAATACAGGGATGTAGAAATAACAAGAAAACTAAAAATAGAGCAGTCACTGACAAGAATAACAGGATCCCTGATGGTATCCAAAGGATCCTGGAAAGTTAATTTACCAAAGATAAGTTTTATGTCAAAAAGAGTAGTTTTTTTATTATGAAGAGGACAACAGAGACAAAGTAAGAAGTGTTAGTTAGGGCTTTCTGTTTTCCCTTTCTCAAGTTTTCAGTCTCATTTGTTTCAAAACACTGAATAACCACTTTTCTATTATTCGGTTTTAGAAGAAATGTTATTTTTTATTTCTCTCTTTTTTAACATCATAGAAACCTTTTTAGTATTAGACTGCAATGGAAGAAGATGAAAATATAATATGTTAAAATGCCCCCGTCCTATATCCACTCTTGTACTCCTCCCCATTCCTCATATATTTGCAATAAAAATTACATGAAAAAAACCTACATTTTTCAGAGGTCAAGCAGATTAAGTTCAATGACATATACCTTGGCCAAGCAGAGATGAAGTTAGATCCATAATGTACATCACTTCATAACAAACTAATTATGTCCAGAGATAAACACTGTTACAGGTAAAATGCACATTTATTCACACCACCCACCCACACTAAAAGGAAATAAAATACTTCTCATCCCAGGTAAAATGTGCATGCACATACAGAGAAACACACAGAGAAAACATGTCACAGATAAACCATAGATTTCAAGAAAGAACAAACAAACCACACACGAAGCAGCCCTGTATCAGTGCAATAAAATAGGAAATAATCAACAAAACACCTCCTCTCTCTGTCACATGTTTTAAGAACAATTCCTGGAAACACCAACCACCATATCCAAAAATTAACGTACAAAGCCTGGAGACAACAATCCTTCTCACTGTAGTCCATCAACAACTGGTATTTAGTAGTGAGTTGTCAGTGTAACCTGGACTCTTTTCTCCTGCCTTGGGTAAAATAGATTGCTTCAGTACTCACAAAATACCTTTTTTGGGGGGAATCATGTGTTTTTTTCAGATTGCACCTCCCTTGAAACCACGTTTTTTCCGCAACCAAACTGGACACACCAATCGTTGGCAAATTCACCTTAGTCCAACATGTGACCTACTTGGAATTACACAAGCTACTAAGGCTGCCCAAGTGGGCCTCAATGAGACACTGATGAGAATGATGACAGGTAGGATGGGGACCGAAAATAATGACTACTTTTTTTCCTTTTCATGATAGAGTTTTCTATAAGTTTCTATTATGTGACTGGGTAAGCCTTTGAGTTCTATGGTAACATTCAAAATGTTTGCACTGCTGCCCACAGAAGGGTCATGCAATTGAGCTAATACCTCACATAGACCTGCTTCTATAATCAAAACTGTGAGATTGATCTAGCCAAGTGTGATACAGGAAGCCCTCCTTACCTGACAGGCAGCAGTGTCAAAAAGTGGAATTGATTGAAAAGCGGAACCCAGGATTTATAACTTGCAAATGCATTTTAGCTGCTGAAAAACAAAACTAAAACACCACAATATATTGTTAATGTGTGCGGAAGCAGTCCCAAGCCAACCTCATAGGCAAGAAGAACTGATGAAAGAGTGAGTTCCTCATCATATTGATGGAAATATGTCTGAAATCTCTAAGAGTTAAAAGAGTGCATCAAAAAGTGAGGCAGCCAAAGGCAGGGGAGCTCTGGAGTAGATATTGTTGCCCTCCAGTTCCAGGTAGTCTTGGATGTCACACATTTTCTTGATCCATTTCAAATCGGCAGGATAGAGTTGAGACTGCTATGTTCACCTTGGTGAATGATCTCCATCTTAACACTGATAGGGGGAGTGTGTCCCTCTTGGTGCTTTTAGATCTATCAGAAGATTTCAATACCATCAACCATGGTATCCTTCTGGGAGGGTGGGAGCTGAGAATCAGAGGCATTATATTGCAGTGGTTCTGGTTGTACCTTTCTGACAGGCTCCAGATGGTGGTGCTTGGGAATAGCTGCTCCTCAAAAATAAATTGGTATGTACTTTTTAACATTTACATAAAATCTCAGGGAGACATCATCTGAGTGTCACCAACATATTATCAGTATGCTGATGACACATACATTTACTTCTCCATACCTTCATAAATCGTTTTAGCAATAGATAGCATGTCTCCTCTGAATGTATGCCTGGAGAAGGTAATGCACCTGGATGAAGTAAAACAAATTAAAACAGAATCCAGACAAGACAGAGGTGCTTGCTGTTATGAACACTAACCTGTGCGTGGAGATATGTCAACCTGTTCTGGCTGGGGTTACACTCCCCCTGAAAGACTGTGTCTACAGACTGGGAGTGCTTCTGGATCTGTCTCTTTGAATGTCAGCACAGGTAGATGCAACCGTCAGGAGTGCTTACTACCAGCTTTGGCTAATACGCCAGTTGGGCCCCTTCCTAGAACTGGAGGACCTAAAGATGGTAGTGCATGCCCAGGTGACCTCAAAGTTGGACTTCTGCAATGCACATTACATTAAGCTATCTCTGTACCTAGTTTGGAAACTCTAAGCAGTTCAAAACACAAGTAGCCATACTAGTTACAGGGACATCTAGGAGTGTGCATATTCTACTCATATTAAATTACTTAACTGGTTGCCAATTAGTTTCCAGGCAAAGTACAAAGTCTTGGTTTTGACCTTTAAAGCCCTACATAGTTTGGGTCCAAGTTACCAACAGGATCGCCTTCTCCTGCACAATCCACCCTTTGGGACACTGAGTTCCTCTGGGCCAGCCACTCCAACCAGCCAGAACCCAACTAGTGACAGTCATCCAGAAGACCTTTTCATCAGCCGCCTCACAACTGTGAAATGACCTGACAGACAAGCTTCAATAGCTAAATCAGCTGTCAGAGTTTAAGACACAGCACAGCATCTATCTCTTCCGACAGGGCTACCCAGTCTGCTTTAACTCTTAATTTTAAAGTCATATATTTTACTGGATGTTGTATGATGATGTTGTTTTTAACTATGTTGTGCCCCACCTTGAGCTGTGAAGAGAGGTGGGTAAGAAAATTATTAATAATAATATGATTATTACATTGAAAAATTCAAAACTGGTTTGCTGGAGAACACCAGTATGCCTGGAGGAATTTGGCTGGAAACCCAGAACACTAACTTCAGTATCAGAAAAAAGAAAAACGTTTGTTGTTCCATAGATCATGTCCTACACCCCCATCCTTTCATTCTGATCTATATGATAGTTTTGCATTAACAATAGATCAATGTTGGGCAAAAGTGGCTCACAATTTTTTTGTGCAGTTTACAAGTGTCTTCACCACTGACGATTATTACTAGGTGAAATATTTAGACTCTTTGTAAGTAGCCTAAAGACGACTTTCACAACTTTAACAATACAGAGCAGGCATATTGGCAACTGCTGGATCCCAGCAATGCCCCTTTTTGACCAGATCTCCATGCACCACAAGTGACTTACTTGCCCCAAATCAATGTCACCTTTGGAACATCAACAAAACGCTTCCCTATCTTGATATATTACATATCTTTGTTTATTTTTTATTTGCAGTTGACACACCCCTTTCCCTGTCTGAAGGCGAGGCCTTGAAGGCGGGGATGCAGTTTCGGAAAAGGTCTAGCTCACATACCTCAAAAATAGTACAATCAAAGCATAAACCCAAACCCAGGTAAATCAGTGGATGCCTGTTCAAAATGTGCAAGTTATTTTACTATGGAAGTGTTTCTTACAGTGTTAGCTGTTAGACTTAGTTGTTTACAACGAAGAAAACAAATCAGATTCAAGTGGCTGAAGGACATGTTTCTTTTATTTCTGTCAATATTGGTCTGATAGTATGTGAAGGTATACTAGTCTCTCAGTTAACCAGAACTCAAGCAATCAGAACTCTCAGGCAACTAGCAAAAATAATCACACATTGTAATCCTTTAAATTCTGAAAAGCTGTTTTTATAATATAATGAAATTTTGTTACATTATGCTCAGTTTGACTTTGTCTCTATTTGTTTTTCATTACTTTATTTCAATATTAATATCAAGTCAATATAGAGTTTATGAGAGGTTTTGTGTGGGGTATAGTATTACTTAGGCCTATTTTAGGAGTAAATCCCAAGCAACTAGAAACGACATTTATCCAGCACCCAGCAATCTCCATGGGAGCTTACTGTATTAATAATCCCATATGAGATCCCTCCAAATATATAAGGCTGTTTATATCTTGTATTAGGAAACTAGAATCCAAACTTATGGATAATTCTGGCCTGAAAGTATACCTTTGTTGTTGTTGGAGTTTTACTTTATTTACTTTATTTGTCTGCTTTTTTTATGGATTGGAATCAGAGGAAGTAATTTGAAGTTGGTGTTCATTCATTTCAGTGGGACCTATGTGGCGCTACAGCTAAAGCAGCATCTCCGTCTCCAGCACCCCACCACCCCTCACCTTTTCCTTCATAAACTCACTGTCTTCATAAACTCACTAGAACAGCAACAATGCACAATATCTCCTTTTTAAAAAAGGAAGCCGAAGCATAGCTACATTTTCGGGGCCATGATACTATTACAGCCACGAATTTGCCCATTGCACAGTGGGTCCAGTTGCACACTTGACTTTATAACCCGAAGAGCCTTGTGAAATGGGCACCATAGTGCTATGTCCATTCCACAGTGCAAAACTACATGAGATGTTTTGAATGTGCATCATTGCAATTCACTAGAAATCACAGAGGGCCAAACCTCCCACACAGAACCCCTATGACCACCAGAGTGGGCCACACCAACGCGTTGGTGTGGCCCACTCTGGTGGTCATAGGGGTTCTGTGTGGGAGGTTTGGCCCTCTGTGATTGTAGGTGAACTACAAATCCCAGCAACTACAACTCCCAAATGTCAAGATTCTCTTTTCCCCAAACTCCACCAGTGTTCACATTTGGGCATATTGAGTATTTGTGTAGAGTTTGGTCCCGATCCATCATTGTTTGAGTCCACAGTGCTCTCTGGATGTAGGTGAACTACAGCTCCAAAACCAAAGGACACTGCCCACCAAACCCTTCCAGTATTTTCTGCTGGCCATGGGAGACCAAGTTAGTTGGTCATGGGAGACCAAGTGTGCCAAATTTGGTTCAATTCCATCATTGGTGGGGTTCAGAATGCTCTTTGATTGTAGGTGAACTATAAATCCCAGCAACTACAACTCCCAAATGACAAAATCAAAATTTTTGAGTGAAGGACATACATTGGGTTGTTAGTTGTATGCTGTCCAAATTTGGTGTCAATTGGGCCACTGGTTTTTGAGCTCTGTTAATCCCACAAACAAACATTACATTTTTATTTATATAGATGTTTTAATCTGTATTTTTAGGCTTGTCCCCTTGTAAGCCACCCTGAGTCCCTTTTGGAGATGGTAGCAGGATATAAAAATAAAGTTGTTGTTATTATTATTATTATTATTATTGATGCCGATACATTGTAATATTGTTGCAGCCTCTGATGCAGGATCTCAGCCAGTTGCTCTATTGAACAATTTAAAATATCTTAGGACTTTTTGAACTCCAAATAATAATAACTTTATTTTTGTATCCCGACACCATCTCCCTGAAGGGACTCGGGGTGATTTACATGGGGAACAAGTTCAGTCAAACAGAGTTAAAATATTTATATAAATAAAAATGTAATGTTCATTTGTGGGGTTAACATAACTCAAAAACTACTGGAAGAATTGCTGCCAAATTTGGCCACAAGACGCCTACTAACCCAAGGAGTGACCATCACTCAAAAAAATTGATTTTGTCATTTGGGAGTTGTAGTTTCTGGAATTTATAGTTCACGTACAATCAAAAATCATTCTGAACACCACCAACGATGGAATTGAACCAAACATGGCATATAGGACTCCCATGACCAACAGAAAACACTAGAAGGGTTTGSTGGGCATTGACCTTGAGTTTGGGAGTTGTGGTTCACCTACATCCAGAGAGCACTATGGAATCAAACAATGATGGATCTGGACCAAACTTGGCACGAATATCCCATATGTCCAAATATGATCACAGATGGAGTTTTGGGGAAATAGACCTTGACATTTGGAAGTTGTAGTTACTGGGATTTATAGTTCAGCTACAATCAAAGAGTGTTCTGAAGCCCACCAATGAYACAATTGGGGAAAACTTCCCACACAGAACCCCCATGACCAGTAGAAAATACTTAAGGCCATCCAGTCCAACTCCCTTTACCAGGACAAGATGACGTAATCAAAGCYCTCCTGACAAAGAGCCATCCAGCCATAGATATAGATAGATATGATGCRCACACACAGATATAGTATCATAAATTTTAAAGGGACCCCTAAAGAAAGACAATTACATGTTGCATGTTCCAGAGTAGGCAAACCAGACAATCTCCACATCAACACTGACAAAGAAACAACAAGAAATACTGTTTACCCACAAGCATCAAGACATTACATATATTAGAAGCACTTTCTCATTACTTTATTTTCCAGATCACCAGACTGGGCCACAGCAATGCATGGCAGGGGATGGCTAGTACACAATAAAATACATATACAACATCATAMAACAATGAGAAACATAATCATACAGCAACCAGTATCTGAGCATWAKGGATGTTCCTGAATAAAGGGCTGAAGGAAGGCTTGTGCAATACAACTGCCTGAACAAGGGCTGATGGTAAAATGTGAGAGGTAGATAATAAATTAAGGCTGAGAGGACCTTAATTCCTCAGATTAATACAGTACAGCTCAAGGGCAGGGACAATAGTAAAGTGCAAGAGTAGAGAATGAGGTTATGGTTAGCCCAGATCAATAGCTCAGGTCAATAATTTGGTTCTGGCTTCTCCATCTTGTAAACCAGAGGGCCAGCAAACTTTCCACTACTGAAGATTACAACCCAGGGGGAATAATTTGTGGGGAAACATATGTGGGTAGTAGGTAAAGATGAAGTTACTATATCCAGAGACAAGCTGTGGAGAATCCACTCATCTGTTTCTGTCATTCCCTTCTCTCTCCCTCCTTTTTTGTTCCTCTTCTTCTTCTCCACCTAGTGGACTGTTGGTGAAGAGAAGAGCTGCTTTGCAGAAACCTGAACCTGATTTCTTGGAGGGCTTTTAAAGTTTGGAAGTGGTGGCAAATTGCATACAGCTGTTTTAATCCATGGAGGTCTTCTATTGAGGGTTTCATTTGCTCTCAAAGGCAATCTATTCCCAATTGAGTCTATGAACTACAAAAACTATCACTTTACCACTCGTATCCTGAAAAGATATTCATGGTCCTCATGTTGCTCATACTAAAAAGCCAGGATAGAGGATGTATAACAAAATTCTCTTTACACATTATACTTCTTTTTATTATATTAAGCATGTTTCACGGACACTTGTTTGAAACTAAGCTGTTAACAAGCACTCTTTCATTCAAGAGGTATTCCACATGTTTGAATGATATTGGAATTATTTATCCTATTTGTTATTTTGTGAATTTCCAATATTGCCCAAGAAGATTATTTTCCAAGCCACCGTGAACTGTTGGCTGTTGGCTGATTTGAAGAAATATATCTATCTTATATTATTTTGTGAAAAATAATGCATTGTAAAAGAATTTTCCCCTCAAACCTGATTTCATTAAATATTGAAAAGGTCTATTTGTTTTCATGGAAGTGCCAACAGACTCGGAGCCAAATAATTAATAGCTCCAATTTTAAGTACTTTGCTGTGCAAAGATTGGCAGGTATTTGGTGGTACTTTCAACATAAGAAAAAAATATAAACTTAGTAAGTTAAGTTCTCCATCTCTACAAAAACATTGTTAGTTTTTATAAATTCAAAGGATCCTAAAAACTGTTTATTCTTTGATCAGGAAGCAGTTAGGATTCCAACTTTTATTTGAGCAATGATGGCTTCTTGTTTCCCCTCTTGCAGCTCTCACTAAATATTCATTTCTAAGGCAGCCATGTCTGAAACACACAAGCTATAAAGTTCCCACCAATGGGAGCCATCAAAGAATAATATATGAAAAGAAAAAGATATGGTGGACATGATAAAGGGAACTGTAGAGAATTGCTCAACCTTAGAACTTCTCCTTTTGCAAACGAAAGCCCCTTTTGATATATGTAGAATTTATTTATTTATTTATTTATAGTATTTATATTCCGCCCTTCTGACTCCGAAGGGGACTCAGGGCAGATCACAATGTACATATACACGGCAAACATTCAATGCTGTTTTTGACATACAAGACATACAGACAGATAGAGGCCATTCAGCAGTTCTTCCACCTCGGATCCCGGAGGTTGCTCGATTTGGCCACAGGGGGAGCCTTTTTGATTGTAGTATTTCCTCCTTGCTCTTGCGCATTTTTATGGTGTCATAAATTAGCCTCCCTGCTTTAAATGGTCCCTAATTTCTCTATCCACAGCTCACAGCTGCTTTTTGAACTGCTTAGGTTGACAGTGAGCTGGGCATTTTTTAACAACTTAAAAAAAAACAGCTATCAACACTCAGGCACTCAACCCCGACTCGGGCTTTGAACTTGCCACCTTTCGGTCAGCAGTGATTTATTGCAGCTGATTAAACAGTTGTGCTACCATAATTTCTGTCCAAGCAATTATATATCACGAAGATCAGTAAGCAAAAGTTTTTTCACAGTCACCAAGAGCATCACAATTTTTTTTCTTGCAGTACCATTGTGATCATTTGCTGCTTGAAGGAGGCTTTCCTCAGTTATTTTTAAGTTAACTGGATTTATTGGTACTTTCATTATCTTTTGTGCACCTGTAAAGTTAATTTCTTTTGCAGTTTTCCCCTCTATTAGTTTTTTTTTGTTATTTGTTTCTAAAATGTCATTATTATTTTTTTTGGTATTCAAAAGAGGAAAATACATTTTAATATACCATATATCATATAACCAGAGTTGGGAAAGAAAAAGATGAAATTTTCTACAATATTACTCCATCCAAATTCACTGAGAGTGTGTACTCATGTTGCAGCCACAGACTAAATCCTTTAATGTGCATAACATTAGAACCATTCTAGAAGTATGTAAATCTTTTTTCCTTCTTCCTTTTTCTTCATTGAGGATTTTGCCCCAAGGAGACCCACATGAGATGCTTTTTTCTTTTACACAGAAGATCACTGAGGGCATGGAACCAGGTGAGTAGTACTACTTTAAACGCTTACAGTGACATATCTAGGGTTGGTGTCCCATGGAACTCCTCTCATACTGGATCATACCACGATACTCGAGCTAAAAGACCATAATATTTGACAAAATTAGGGACTATAAAAGCCAGTAGCAATGTAAACAATAGTACATGCTTAAAATGTCACTGCAATTGAGTAATAATGACAGCTCTGACCAAAGTACATGTCAATTTTGTTCTTGGTTGTGTGTCTTTATATCATTTCCAAATCAATTGTGAGAAGAAATTTACCTTTGCTTTTTTTGGGACAGAGAGATTGTGACTTTCCAAAGTCACCCAGTGAGTTTCAGGGAAAGGGTTAAAAAAATAGGATAAAGTTTTAGCCTTGTAAGTATAGTGATGGTGTATGCTGAGTTTAAATTTAAAGATAGTGATGCTGGGGAAAATGGAAAGAAAAAGGAAGAGGGCAAGATGAATGGATGTTATCCTTGAAGTGACTGGCTTGACCTAAAGGAGCTGGGGGTGGCAACAGCCGACAGGGAGCTCTGGCGTGGGCTGGTCCATGAAGTCACAAAGAGTCGGAAATGATTGAACAAATTAACAACAACAACAAACACTGGGTTTACTAAGTATTGTGACAGTGTACACTGGTTTTGTGTTTATAATTAACTATAGTGATTTTTTTTTAATAGAAAAGTACCTTCTGGAGAAAAACTGCACAATTTTTTGTAGATAGTCACTTGGTATCACCCCTTTTGATGGTGACACATGGTGGGGTCCACACTCTCTGTGTCCCTCTAGTGATGCCACTTAACTTGGTGTCTGCTGGCTGTTGTAACTGGCCTATCACCTCTTGGTAGTACTCTCAACTGCCATTTTTTTCTTTTTTATCTCCTTAGATGTCATACTGGAGTGCTTGGACTTTGAATGGGAACTTCATCGCATGTACTTCTTTAAATCCCAGGTCCTCTCGCAGCTACTTGCTGTAGCTGTAAAGAATACTGATTTAGATACTACAGACAGTAGTTCCAAAGTCAACAAAGGTACTGCATTAGAAGTAATTCCAACATGTATATATTTGTGTTTATATATTGCTTGTATTGGCAAAAGTATGATAGCTGGGACCCAATGCTGGTTGCGCAACGCGGGTCAGAATTAGAGAAGTGAAGATGTGCGCGAGATAGCGTTGAGTTTATAGCACACTTCATCCACATGTAATTCAGTTAAGTTTGAGTGAAAGTGAAGAATGGTTTAAAAATGGCAGTTACCAATAGCTGAGAATAAATCCGCCGTATTGCCCATGTCTTTGCTTCTATAATTCTGACCCGCGTCGCACAACCAGCATTGGGTCCCAGCTATCATACTTTTGTCCTAATATTTAAGGGCTTGTCCAGATTGATGGAACAAATGTATGATTCTTGCTTTTAAATATTCAAAGGATGTTTCTGTGGTCATGGGTTATTTTCTGACAATTTTCAGCACCAGCTGCAAAGTTCCATTCCCACCGCTGAGTAAAGATACATACACTATACATGCAATGCAGTTTGACACTACTTTAACAGCTATGGATCAAGGCTATGTAATCCTGGGAACTACAGTTTGATGAGGTATCAGCGGTTTTTGGTAGAGAAGCCTAAAGGCTTTGTAATGCTACAACTCCCATGATTCTTCTGTAGCATTGAGCCATGGCAATTCAAGTGTTAAACCACATTAATTTTACAGTGTAGGTGCACTCTGGGATTATTTTTAATTTCCAGATTGAGCAGAATATAAACATATCATTCTCTGCTCCTTCTTTTTATTTCTTTTTTAAAACGATGTTAGATTGTAATGTTATAGTTTCCTTTCTTTTTAATTGTTTACTGTTTTGTTGTGCTTTAAACATTTACAGTGTCTAACTGTTTGGTGGGCCTGCCATATCAGAGTCAACTATGAAGCACATAATGTTAATCTATTTTTGGCAAAAGTATGATAGCTGGGACCCTACGCTACATTAGTTGCGCAACACGGTTCTGAATTAATGAGGGGAAGATGTGTGCTACACAGAGCAGCGAATGAGAGACGCAGGTGCGAGAGAGTCGTGGCAACATAGTTCACCAGGAAGGGGGACAGGAAACAGTGGAGCATGCTGATGTAGCCTATCCGGATATCCTATGCAAACACATTCAAATAGATAGTTGCATTGGAAGGGAGGGTTTGGCAACAACATGGAAGTGTTTAATAATCTTTGGACACAGATTGCTCATTTCTATACCGTTTAAGGTCTTCATAAGCCGTGGTTTATCATTTAAATAACATTAAATAACTGTTACATTACTTCAGTCTTTTCACACTAAATAACTGTTAGATTATTTGAGTCTTATCCTGTCAAAGGTGAGTTAAATTACTTCACTGCTATCCTGCTACAGCTGCATCTCTGACTCACAGCATTGTCTCACGCACGTCTTCCCCTCATTAATTCAGACCCACGTTGTGCAACTAGCATAGGGTCCCAGTTATCATACTTTTGCCCTATTTTTCCCCTGTGTTTATGAGTAATTAAGTACTATTAATCTACATTCAGCTAACAATTCAGACTGAATAAATCTCTGTTGCCATTATACTACCTGCTGGACCTGATCAAGTTTTGTTACTCAGTCCCCGTTTAGTTCAGTATATTATTGTCTCTTCAGTCAGTGCTCTTCAGGTTCTATACCAATATTCCTGTGTTCACAATGTTTTTGGCAGAATTCAAGTGCTACTATAAACAGTATCTACTATCTGCCCGGAAACATACAGAAATCTCCCAACCGCAGAAAAGAATGACCAAAGTCACAATTGCCTTGGAGATCAATGATCCAGATGTCACTCGATTTGGTAATATCGTTATTTTGTCTGGCGATATCTACAAGCCTAAATATTAATTCACAGCACCTTATATTGGCTGCTTGTTTTGGAAGGTGTTAAGGATTGGAGGCACAATTTGAGTTAACTTGGGAAATTATAGATTCTTTGGTCATTATATATTCTTCACGAGGATACCTACACTGTCTTTCCCTATAAAACAGGATGGGGAAACATAACAGTATGACAGTTTTTTTAAAACATTGTGGACTACAACCCCCATAATCTCTGAACACTGGTCATACTCCTGAACCTGATATCTTAGAGTTCAGTCACATAATGGAATATTATGATATTCCCGTAACTGATACAGGTTTGACATCACATCACTAACTGCACTGGCTCAGTGCTATGGAATCCTGTTACAGTATTTGTAGTTTGGTGAGACACCAGCACTCTTTTCCATGGAAAGCTAAATATCTTGTAAAGCAACAACTCCCATTATACCATAGCATTGAGACGTGTCAAACTACATTAATTGTACCATTCTAGATAAATCACTGGATATTCTCTACTTGTTTTAAAATGAATGGATCCCATTAATTGTCCTAATTAAGTTTTTTTCTTTGCAAACCCCTGAATAACAGGAGTGTGTATGTATGAATGTGTGTGTGTAAGAGAGAGAGAGACAGAACGCATTTGTGCTGGTTCCAGTCAGGTCCATATGTACCTACTTTTGAGTTTTAAAAAGTATCTTAAATTATATGTGGCTTATTATATAATGTGATTTTTCTTGATATGTGGTTGTTGTTGTTGTTGTTGTTCTAATCCTGGAACAACAGCCTTGGGACTCAAAGGTATCTTACAAAAGTTAAAGCTGTTAAAGTAAAAAAGTATTCATGGGAGGTACATTCTGGGACTTTGCGTGGATACGTAAAACTGTAGATAATAGCAACCTGTATTGAAATAAAGGACTTTTGGTCCAAGAATACCACAGAGTCAATCTGGATGACCTAGAAAAAGCTGAGAGGTGAAATATTTTGTCAGAAGTGGATACATGATATTGGCCCATAGATATGGAACTCATAGGTGTGAAAAGGCTCCCTAGTCGAGCTCATGCAACTGGTCTCGGAGGTGTCGTTGGAGTCACCTGGGCTTTTGCTTCTGGGTGACTTCCAACAAACCACAGCACCTCTTCCTAGATTTGGAGGACCTAAAGATGGTAGTGCATCCACTGATAACCTCAAGGATGGACTTCTTCAATGAGCTTTACATTGGGCTATCTTTGTACCAAGTTCAGAAACTCCTGTTTATTCAAAATACGACAGCCAGTTTGGTTATAGGAACATCCAGGAGTGAACATATTACACCTGTCCTAAAGTAACTCCACTGGCTGCCAATTAGTTTCCAGGCAAAGTACAAAGTGTTGGTTTTGACCTTTAAAGCCCTACATAGTTTGGGTGCAGGTTACCTGCAGGAGAGTACAATCCCCCCCCCCCAACACTTAGTTCCTCTGTCAGGCATCTGCTCCAGTCTGCCTGAGCCTGACTGGTGACCACCACCCAGAGGATCTTTTCATCAGCCACTATGAAGTATTGGCTCTGCCTTTTCCTCTCCTCTGCTTCAGTTCCCCCTGTTTATAGATTTTTCCCAATAGTGAAAATAACTTCCTTTGTATTAGTTTTGGGTGGAGCTTAAAATCCCCCCAGAGGCCTGCGTTAGTTGGTCTATTCAATTTGCCTGTATAGAGCATTCTTGTTGGACTCCTCCTTTTTCTACAGTCACTGTTTAGATAATTAAGTGTTTTTGTGATGATGTAACCCACCTCGAGCCACGGAGAAAGGTGGGTAAGAAATAATAATAATAATAATAATAATAATAATAATAATAATAATAATGTATTCTGTATCTCGAAAGAGATGGTAATGTTTGTGCCATCAGACCAAATCTTCAAGTAATTTAAAGTTCAGAATAGGATATGTCAGATCTTCCGACAGAAAACTGACTTGGTATTAAGTTAGCATTTTCTATTACACAGAATAAGTAGTTGTTGATGGTGGTGTGACACCAGCAAATGTAAAAGCAGACTTAGATTAATTTCTTTGTAGATAAAAGGATAAGGAAAACACTGTTGGAACTTATGCTTAACTCTTGCTGCATTTGAATATTTATTTGTTCATATGCATGAATTTATTTTGTCATATGTGAAGCCTTTGCTATAGCACTCAGGAACCTATACAACTCCGAAATAGAAGTAAATGAAGAAGATGTCCTGGGAATCCTGGCTTCTGCAAATGTATTACAATTTCCTACTCTTTTCTACAAGTAAGTAGCCATTGCTCCATCTGTGTGTCAAGTCATTGCCTTTAGATGTGGAGAGTGGCCCATACAATTGTGCAAATTACTGACATTTCCTCTATATTGTGATCTGTGAATTGTCAGCCAAATTGTTACCTATCTATGTCAGCTTTGGGAAAAAAAACATACACAGAAATACAATTATGAAATATATCATACACTGGGTTGCTGTGAGTTTGCTGGGCTGTGTGGCCATGTTCCAGAAGCATTCTCTCCTGACGTTTTACCCACATCTATGGCAGGCATCCTCAGAGATTGTGAGGTCTGGAGAGAATGCTTCTGGAACATGGCTATACAGCCCAGAAAACCCATAGCATCTTAGTGATTCCGGTCATGAAAACCTTTGACAACACATATCCTATATTAATGGTAGTCACTCAAAAACAATCTAGAGCTGGATAATCAATTTTCTATTTTGAATTAACCAAACTAAGAAAGATGTTTTGAAAATGCCACCTTTTGTTGCTCTTCATAGTCTGCTGTGATTGTTTCAATTGCAAATGCCTTTCCCCATTCATTGGAGCAAGACACAAGATCCTCCAAACATCATTCTCCATAATTTTTCCCCTTTTGCAGTTTAAGAGAGAAGACAATTTTGCCATATTTCAACCTGCATCAGTATATTTTTTATACAAATAGCAGAATCTTTGAGGAGGTGTGAGAGGTGTTCAGGGCTGCTTCATGTATTAGTTTAAAAGAATATGTATTAGTTGTAATAAGTCTGTTTTTCCTTCCACAGTGGAATATCCTCAAAGATACAGCAACCAGACTTGCAAATGGAACCAGTATTTAATTCCCAAACAAAGTATGCTAAATGCAAGATATGTAATAGAGGGAAGAAAGCATTTGCCAAATTTCTTCTACTAAAGGTGCTATGGCCAAACTTGACACCAGGTCAATTGTTACTTCTGCAACTGGACAGTAAAACACTAGTTATATATTGCACAGTCAAATCTGAAAAGTAGCATTGCACACCATGAATAGCAGACCTAATGATGTAATTATGTTTTGCACCTTCCCGTAGCCCAAGTTCTAGGTCAGCCGAATGTTATTTCTTACTAGCAGAGTTTTGTGTCTCTTGGCACAACACTTCATGAATTAGGTATTATTGGAGTGAAGGAATGGTAGAAATATGTCCTTCTGTCACTCGGCAGAAGCACAAGTTGACGCCCTTTGCTTGCCAAGAGATGTGGAATGAATCATCGGGGTTGTTATTTTACTGGAATAGTTTCCTATATTTTGAAAACTGCCTTTTAAGAAGTTTCTGCTTGGGGCAGACACACTAGCCTTGACAAAGTCAATTTTTTCTCAGTAGCTGCTAAAGTCAACACATTTTAAGATATTCCCCCTTCATATATGGAGGCATTTTCATAAACCGAATATTGAATTAGTTGTGGGTTCTAGGATTATGAAATTTGGCAGCTATATTATTATTTCTTTATGTCTGAATAAAGATTGTATACATCCATTTTATTTGTTTTATCCAATGTTTATATTATCCTATATGGGTTTGTTAGTTTATTTTAGAATTTGAAATATTCTTATTTTTTTCCCCAGGGAATGGGCAAAGAAAATCCATAGTCTTGAAAATGTTTAATGTGTCTTAGGAAAGTGGCAAATACATAGGGTTGTTTTCCAATTCCATGGTTATACTGGATAAACCAAAAGTAATGACAGTGCATTAGGCAGACCATAGTAATCCTCTTGGGTGGCTCATGCTGGGAACTGAAAAGTGGACAGAGTTATGTGTACCATCAATAATAATAATAATAATAATAATAATAATAATAATAATAATAACTACATTGTGTTGTCGAAGGCTTTCATGGCCATGTTTCAGAAGCATTCTCTCCTGGCGTTTCGGCCACATCTATGGCAGGCATCCTGAGGTTGAGGGGTCCCTCAACCTCTGAGGATGCCTGCCATAGATGTGGGTGAGACATCAGGAAATAATGTTCCTTTTATTTTTTTATTTCATATCAAAAGCATTGCATAAATTAGTATAAAACTGTTGAATTAGAAGGTATGCAGGTGGCTAAATATCTTTTGACAAAAAACAGGCAACAGCAATGGCACTGTCTGTAGCCTCCAACAATTCCTCCTCTGTACATGAGGCAGGGCACAGATGCAGAGTTGTCTGTTCTGCTCCACAGTCACACAAGGTATGGGATTCTTTTAGGTAGTGCCATTTTGGCAAAATGCTCCTGGAACATGGCCATACAGTCCGGAAAACTTACAGCAATCCAATAAATACTTTATTTATAGACAGTCCTCTCTCCCCGAGGTGACTTAAGATCATTTACATACATAGAAAGGCTAACAATCACTGCCATAGTCAAGTTCACACACATCAAAATAATACAAAGAACAATAAACTTAGAACTAAGAGAAAATAATAAAACTAAATAAAAAGGAAAATACAAATTCTTAAATGAAACATAATACACTAAATAACATATAATTACACAAAAAACTTGCTGTTAAGCTAAGCATCAGAGATAGTGGAACACTACTATCCCCTGCCTGAAGTAAGACTCTGGCAACACCTTTTGTATAAGAGGATTTATCTTAGCTTTCATCAGACAGCCTGCTCAGGGAGCAAAATGCATTGGGTGGCCATGGAAAATTTATTGCGGACAGAATTCAATATTCTGTAAAGTTCAGCACACGGCCTCTCTTTCTTTGCTGCAAACTTTTAAGTCTCCCAGGATGGAGGTGGAAGTGTGGGGGCACAGTATCAGGTGACAACTGAAACATATGCCATTTGGAAAGGCAAAGGTTGAAAGCAGCTGCAAGGAGAGTACAGAATTAGACCAGGGATGTGCTGCTGTGCGTGCAACGTTATCATCACATCATTTTCTCCAACATAAATTGGCCTAAAGAATGTGTTACTTCCCTCACTGTGGGCAGTTACTTCTCCAGTAAGGAAAAAAAAATGCCAGGAGGCTATTTTTATGGAGAAACCATCATGAAAGAAAGAGAGCCAATGTGGTATAGTGGTTAGAGTAGAGAGTGACCTTGACTTGGGAGACCTAGGTTCAAGATCCCATGAAATTCCTTAGGCTACCGTGAGTGAATCACTGGGTCAGCCTGGTACTTGTGAGTACAACAAAGGGTGTGTGTGTGCACAGGAAATAATAATAATAATAATAATAATAATAATAATAATAATAATAATAGCAACAACACACTTTATATGCCACCCTTCTCCTGTAGGGGATTCAGAGCAGATTACAGCATTTACAGCAGACATAGGCAAACATTAAATGCCTTATAATCACATAAACACCAACGAGGGCAATGCTTCTTCTTTTTCATTTCTGGCTTCTGGGGGCAGTGCTCAGTTCGGGCTCTGGAGGAGGTGTTCTTCTCCATTTTCAAGCCGAGTAGCCTGCATTGTCACATCCTGGTCGTGTGGACGGCAAGACTGCTTTAGCATCTTTTTTTTGCCTTTTCCCACCGAAGCAGTACCTATTTATTTACTCACATTTGCATGTTTTTGAACTGGTAGGTTGGCCGGTGATAGGGCTAACAGTGGGAGCTCACCCCATCCTGCAGATTTGAACTGCCAACCTTCAGGTTAGCAGTTCAGCAGTATAAGGGTTTAACCCATTGCGCCACCATGGGACCACTATTCTGATATGACAGCCATAATGCTACTTTAACAACTGGACACAGTTATATGTAAGTCAACCTCATGTATAAGTTGAGGGAAGTTTCGGGGGTCAATTTTATGGAAAGAACTATGTACTATGCCTTTAGATGATAGGAAAAATTCAAGCTATAGATGTAACAACTTTCACTGCCCCTTTGCAACACACACTCTGAAACATATACACACATTTTAAAAATGTTACTGATAGCAAATTTCAATCAATGATTTGCCGCAATGAGGTCAAATTATAAATAGCAGCTAGCAATTTCCAGAGTAGCGAACCCAAGCTGGATCTACACTGCCATATAATGCAATTTCAGAATGCAGATTGGCGGCACTGAATTGGATTATATAGCAGTGTAAATCCAGCCCTACAGCTGATTATGCCTGAGTTACATTTCTCTTAATTTAGTCCTAAAAAAATTAGAACAGTTTTTCCAAGTACAAGCATTTCTATTTCCAAGGAATGTGCAGTTTTAATTAGTCTGGAAGGTGAAAGAAGGACTTTCAGATGCTCTTCCCTGGAAGCAACGCAACCATCAGTAATGTCTCCTGGGGGAAAGGGTTGGTCTGGATTGGGTTTTGCTGAGTCTGGGGTGTGGTTGTGCTGATGTATCTGGAGTTTTACCTGGCTGGTAGGTTTCTGGATCTCTTGAGACTCTTTTTTCTGCCTTTCTTCCACCCACCCTTCTCATTTCAACTTTCCTTTCCCCTAGGTGTGTACAGATCATGAGAAATAACATAGGCACAACCAATGTCTGTAGTTATTATTCCGCAGGCTGTAAGGTGAGTGGGAAATATGGTCTTAGCATGGTGGGTTTAGTTATGAATATGAAACCTATCTATAGTGGTAGTCAAATCTTTAAAAAGCACTCTGTTGGAATATAGCCTTCAGAATCCCACGCATTCCCAGTAAGTTAAGATCCAAAGGATAAAAAGCACTTTTTCTGAACTCTGGTTTTAATTTTGACCAACTGAGTCAGTTTATAACTGGTTTTCATGCTGGCATTTTGCATTCATATCAAGAGAGCATGTAAAGAAAGGTGGAATGAGCAGCTGCTGGGAATCGTAGCTAGTATTATTAGGGATGGAGAATTTAGGTCTTCTTGTCCTAAATGTATCTCGTCCATTGTTCCAAATTTGACAGCGACAATCACAATCAAATCTCCATTCCACTTTTCAGCTGTTTTTAAAATGACCAGGCCCCTTCCACACGTCCATATAACCCAGAATATCAAGACAGATAATCCACAATATCTGTGTTGAACTGGGTTATCGGAGTCCACACTGCCATATAATCCAGTTCAATGTGGATCTCATACAGCTGTGTGGAAAGGGTCCAGTTTCTCTTACTCTCACTTTGGCCCTGCGCTTCAGTTTACGCCAACTCCTGCAAACTGAGTTTAAAGTGAAAAAGTAATTTTTATTCTTTCACTGTAGGCTGAGACAAAAGCTAAGTGCTACAGCCTCGCCTAATTTGTGTGCTCTGCCTCATTAAGAACTCTTGCCATCTTGACCAAATACTGATATTGCTTTATCACATATGTCCAGATTTTCTGTGATCTATAGAAAAGTGGAAATGAGCTGTCCTTAGATCAGTGTTACTCAACCTTCCTAATGCCGCAACCCCAGAATACAGTTCCTCATGTTGTGGTGACCCCCCACCACCATAAAATTGTTGCTAACTGTAATTTTACTACTGTTATGCATCGTAATGTAAATATCTAATATGTAGGATATATTTTCATTCACTGGACCAAACTTGGCAGAAATACCCAATTTGCCCAAATTTGAATACTGTTGGGGTTGGGAGGGGATTTATTTTTGTCATTTGGGAGTTGTAGTTGCTGGGACTTATAGTTCACCTACAATCAAATAGCATTCTGAACTCCACCAATGATGGAATTCACCAAACTTGGCACACAGGACCAATAGAAAATTCTGGGAGGGTTTGGTGGGCATTGACCTTGAGTTTTGGAGTTGTAGTTCACCTATATCTAGAGAGCACTGTGGACTCAAACAATTATGGATCTGGACCAAACTTGGCACAAATCCTCAGTATGCCTAAATGTGAACAATGGTGGAGTTTGAGGACAATAGACCGTGACATTTGAGAGTTGTAGTTGCTGGGATTCATAGTTCACCTACAATCAAAGAGCATTGTGAACCCCACCAACGACAGAATTGTGACATACTTCCCTCATGACCAACAGAAAATACTGTGTTTTCTGATGGTCTTTGGCAACCCCTCTGACAACCCCTTGCGACCCCCCTCCCAGGAGTCCCGACCCCCAGGTTGAGAAACGCTCCCTTAGATGGTCCAGTAATAAAGACAAGAGTTCTTTCTCCCATCCTGGACATTCCACAGATATATAAACACCACTTGCCTAGATTTGGACAGACCTCACAACCTCTGAGGATGCCTGCCAAAGATGTGGACGAAACCTCAGGAGAGAATGCTTCTAGAATCTAGAACATGGCCACACAGCCCGGAAAACTCACAACAAACCAGTGATTTCGGCCATGAAACTTTTGATAACACATATTTCTTTGTAGTTAAGCAACTGAACAGAAACTTTTGCTTCCTATAGGATACAGAGGCAAGCTGAAATGTGGCTATGACTTGGGCTGCTCGGGCCATTTTCAAATTACAGATCCCTGATCAGTGTATCTGGACAATTTACAGATCCTTAAAACCTTCTTTGTTGCTCATTTTATGCTTTTAACTCAGTTTTACCAATGCCTTCTTTCGTTAATTGTTACATTTTGTTACTTTTTAAATACCTTTTGGAAAAAATTCTTACAAAATAAGAAATAGTACCTTGAAATTTGACTCCTAACAAATAATGAGAAAAATATTGTGGTGTTGTGTGGTTTCCAGGCCTTATGGCCGTATTCTAGCAGCATTTCCCCCTGATGTTTTGCCTGCATCTGTGGCTGGCATCCACAGAGGAAAAGACGGTATTTACTTCTTCTTTTTTACTAAATTATCTTCCCAAAATTAAGGTGCACATTAGATTCGCATAATATGGTAAATACTTTTTTGCATGTCAAGGTTTTGTAAATTGGGGTATGCATTAGATTTGATGACACATTAGATTCAAGAAAATACAGGCTCGTTTGGGTTGGGTAGCGGGGTAACAACTGATTATTATTCTGACTGAAGATTGTAACCTCAACATTTTAAAAGTTATAACTTTTAGTCTCTGATGCCTTATATATTAGTTAAATTCATGATATCTGCATATAGATCCATAGTCTGCCCTTCATATCACATGCATGGATCCAACCAAGTATGGCTTGAAAGTAATTGGGAAAAAATCCTAAAAGCAAAACTTTCTGCCTGTCAAACAGTTTAATAATGTATAGACATACCCTGCTGTATTCTTCAGCCATTTCATGGGCTCTCTCTGTTAGTCATCTATATATATAAATCTGTTAGGTTGGTTCAACCGGACAGCAAAACTCCACAACCCCCCAACGAAACTGTACCAAAATTGCCATGCCCATAACACAACCCACAAGGTACAAACATATCTACTCAAAATGAAAAACAACACAACAACACACTCACAAAACGGCAAAACAACACAACTCAAAAAAACCAACGAAACTTAACCAAAATTCCAATGCCCATAACACAACCCACAAGGTACAAACATATCTACTAAAAATGAAAAACAACACAACAACACACTCACAAAACGGCAAAACAACAAAACTCACAAACCCCAACGAAACTTAACCGAAATTCCCATGCCCATAACACAACCCACAAGGTACAAACATATCTACTCAAAATGAAAAACAACACAACAACACACTCACAAAACGGCAAAACAACAAAAAAAAACCCCAATGAAACTTAACTAAAGGGGCTGGCGGAGTGAAGATAAATACCTATTGGGGTCTTTAACACATAGGGACATATGCGCACAGGTACGAGTTTAATCGTTTACTACGTCTGTTTGTGCGTAATTGAATATGCTATTGAGCAAGGTAGACTACGGCTGGACGCATGTGGGAAATCTGGGTCAACAGTGTGGCAACGAAATACTGCTATTTAAAAATGAAGTGTTAGTGGTTGATATCAACCCCCAACGAAACTTAACCAAAATTCCCATGCCCATAACACAACCCATAAGGTACAAACATATCTACTCAAAATGAAAAACAACACAACAACACACTCACAAAACGACAAAACAACTGAGCATGCGCATTGGTGCCCAGCCGCAAGTTCCCTGGCGTGCACACAGTCTTCTGGCCAACGTTCCCTCTGCGGAAGCCATGCCCACTCCAAGCCCCGCCGCGCCACTTCCCGCACACACACACCCCCCGCCGCGCACACACACAACCCCACGCTCCATCCCTCCCCCCGCCGCACACACACACGCAACCCCACGCTCCATCACTCCCCCCGCCACACACACACGCGCAACCACTCCCCCCGCCGCCGCACACACACACGCAACCCCACGCTCCATCCCTCCCCTGCCCCAATCTTACCTCCTTTTACTTCACGCCACCTCCAAACCCCACCCCGCCCCTTCCCGCCCTGTCAAAATCTAGGAAAGACAGGAAGGAAGGAAAGAAGGAAGAAAGAGAAAGGGAGATAAAGAAAAGGGGAAAGGAAGGAAGAAGAAAAGGAAAGCAAAGGAAAGATGGAAGGAAAGAAAAGAGAGACAGCAGAAGGGAAAGAAAAAGGGGGAAGGAAGGGTAGAAGAGGAAGAAAAGAGAGAGGAAGGAAGAAAGAGGGGAGGAAGGAAGGAAGGAAGGAAAAAAGGAAGAAGGAAGAGGGAAGGAAGGGCGAAGATGTAGAGAAAGAGGGAAGGAAAGAAGGAAAGAGAGAAGGAAGAAAAGAGACCAGAAGAGAAAGAAAAAGGGGGAAGAAGGAGAGAAGGAAAGAAAAAAGGGAATGAAGGAAGGAAAGAGGGAGTGAAGGAAGGGGGAAGATGTAGAGAAAGAGGGAGGGAAGAAAGAAGGAAAGAGAGAAGGAAGAAAAGATAGCAGAAGAGAAAGAAAAAGGGGGGAGGAAGGAAATAGTGAAGGAAGAAGAGAAGGAAAGACGGGAAGGAAAGAGGGAGTGAAGGAAGGAGGGAAAGAAGGAAAGAAGGAAGGAAAGAAGAAAAGGAAGAGAAAAGAAAAAGGGAGGAAGGAAAGAGATAGAGAAGGAAAGGGAAGGAAAGAAGGGAGGGAAGGAAGGAAGGAGGGAAAGAAGGAGAGAAAGAGGGAAGGTTGGCCACAGCAACACGTGGCGGGTAAAGGTTGTTATTTCTATTATTATTATGATGCTATTATTCCTATAGACCCTGGGGGAATGGGAGAGATGTCAGGTCCCAGAGGCAATGCATTGCATTATTGTTATTGTTATGATGGTGGTGAAATAAAAGGAAATAAAAAGTGAAAGAAGGAAGCAAACAGGGAGGGAAGAAAGGCAAAGGAAGAAAGGGGGAGGGAATGAAGGAAAGAGAGAAGGATGAAACCAAGTAGTGAAAGAAAGAAAGAGGTAGAGAAGGAAGAAAGGAGAGAAATGGGGAGGAAAAGGGGGAAGGAATAGGTAGGGACCTCTCTTTCATAATAGTCCAGATATCTACCTCAACTTTGATAAGTTTTACTATAGGCCACAGCAACGCGTGGCAGGGCACAGCTAGTTTTATATAAGGGACACCATTTTACCATGCTATTGTATTTAATGAGACTTGAACAGATGAGGGTTTTGGTATCCATAGGAGGCCCTGGAACCAAAACACAGCAGATATTGAGGGCCTGCTGTATATTGATATCCAGCCCTAAATAGTTATAATTGAACATTTACATTTAGCCTAAACTTGCATTGTTGTTGTTGTTCATTCGTTCAGTCGTCTCCGACTCTTCGTGACCTCATGGACCAGCCCACGCCAGAGCTCCCTGTCGGCCGTTACCACCCCCAGCTCCCTCAAGGTCAGTCCAGTCACTTCACGGATGCCATCCATCCATCTTGCCCTTGGTCGGCCCCTCTTCCTTTTGCCTTCCACTTTCCCCAGCATAATTGTCTTCTCTAGGCTTTCCTGTCTCCTCATGATGTGGCCAAAGTACTTCAATCTTTGTCTCTAATATCCTTCCCTCTAGTGAGCAGTCAGGCTTTATTTCCTGGAGTATGGACTGGTTGGATCTTCTCACAGTCCAAGGCAGTCTCAGAATTTTCCTCCAACACCACAATTCAAAAACACTTTTAGCATATCTCTGTTTTCTAGTCCAGCTCTCACATCCGTAGGTTACTACAGGGAATACCATGGCTTTGACTAGGCGGATCTTTGTTGCCAGTCTGATGTCTCTACTCTTTACTATTTTATCGAGATTGGACATTGCTCTCTTCCCAAAAAGTAAGCGTCTTCTGATTTCCTGGCCACAGTCTGCATCTTATGCATATGATACCTTAAATTTCCAGCATCCACCACAAGGTGGTCCCAGAGTTCAGAATTACTATTATTTTAACACTACCTCTTCTTCCTTTGAAATCAGTACCAGCAATCAGCCTTGATCTCCGATTGTGAGAGATGGGTAGAAGTGAACCTTGTCCCGCATCTTGGCTCTCAGATTCACTTGAGGAAGCTGCCACTAGAACTGCTGCAGAAAGTGCTCAAATCTTCAAGGTGAGATTGGTACATTGTCCATGCTACTTTTTTACAAAGTACGGAGACGAAATCCCATGAACTCATATTGTCCAGGTTATAACAGGGTTGGCAACCCAGTGAGCCACAATAATAATAATAATAATAATAATAATAATAATAATAATAATAATAATAATTTATTTGTATACCGCTCTATTTCCCCGAGAGGAGCTCCCATCTTGTTAAACAACAACAGATAAGGTAAAGGTTTCCCCTTGACATTAAATCTAGTCAAGTCCAGCTCTGGGCCAGGGGGTGTGTGTGCTTAATTTCTAAGCAAAAGAGCTGGTGTTTTCCATAGACACCTCCAAGGTCATGTGGCCAGCATAACTGCATGGAGCGCCATTACCTTCCTGATGAAGCAGAACCTATTGATGTATTCATATTTGCATGTTTTTGAACTACTAGGTTGGCAGAACCTGGGGCTAACAACGGGAGCTCACTCCGCTCCCCGGATTCAAACTGCTGACCTTCTGGTCATCACATTCAGCAGCTCAGCGGTTTAACCTGCTGCACTACTGGGGGTTCCTAACAACAGCAACTCCCCCACAATAAAGCAATATACTTGGCTTCGCTCTAGAAGAGAACCACAGACCCTGGAGAAGCAATTCCTGTTTTTAAAAAGATGAATACAGGATAGAAGTCCAGCATGATGCGGTGTTTTGAGCATTGAATTATGACTCTGGAGAACATGGTTTGAACTCCTGCTCAGCTATGAAAACCTAATGGCTGATTCTGTACTGATCACAGTCTCTCGGCCTCATAGAACAGCAACAGCAAACACTTTCTAAACAAAGGAGACTCTGTGATCAGGTTGCCATTAGAGAGAAATAACTTAAAGCCAGTGATGAACGTAGGAAAGAAAGGGTGGACAATGGATCATTGCAAAGAAGGGGCTCCCCATAAATATTTCATCCAAACATACTTCATGAAATGTTACTTCTTCTCCCAGTGTAAGGAACATCAAAGAGAATGCACAAGTGAGCTGTGTTCCTTTTATTTACTTTTTCAAGTGGGTCCTGAAGGGAAAAATTACGCATTGTCTCTGCAGCAAAAGAAGCAAGTTTCAAAGGGATAACATGACATTTTGCTTCTTGCCACAGAGCATGTGTGCACATTAGTCATTCAAAAGCAGTATCAATCAATAGCTAAAAAAAAAATTGGCTGTTCCTTTCATTGTGAAAGATAGCAAAGTTTATGCTTCGTATCCAATATTAGGAGAGAACAATGAAAATGTAAAGTCTCTAACCCATATAAACCTCTTATTGGTATACATGAAGAAATCACTCATGTTTGTAAGCATTCTGAGTGGCTAGGACCCTTCTATTTAAATATGCTTTCATTATATACCAGCCCATAAGAGTACCCTGGGGCACAGAAAGCTATCATGCCATTTTTAAAAGTCAGGAGCTACTTGAGAAACTACAAGTCATTTCTGGTGTAAGATAATTGGTTGTCAGCAAGGATGTTGCCCAGGAGAAGCCTGAATGATTTACCATCCTGTGGGAGGCTTCCCTCATGTTCCCACATGGGAAGCTGGAGTTGACAGACGGGAGCTCACCCTACTCCCCAGGTTTGCACCTCTAACCTTTCAGTCAGCAGTCCTGCCGGCACAAGGGTTTAATCCATTGTGTCACTGTTTCCTGTGGGTGGCATGGCATGTGAATTAAGCGTATTCAAATGAGATGGAGGCCATGCGGGATGTTTACAAAAATGAATGCTCTGTCATTGCCAAGCATCACAGTTCATGCATGGCTAGAGTCATGCCCGAACCCTTCTGAAAGCAGGCTGCCAATAACCTTTCTGTAGTATTTTCCATGAAACTTATGTACTTTTGCTTCCTCTGGAGTGAGCCTGTAAACTGCTTCCACTGTGTCAGACGCTGACCATGGGATTGTAACAGTGCTTTACAAACTCATATATCAAATTCACAACTACTCTCTAACCCGAAAAATGCAAATCCTTAATCTGGGTGTTCTTAGCAATAGCCACTGAATGGATCCATTTTGTCTTGTATTACAAAAAGCACAGGTAGCAATGCTGGGAACTTGTTAACATTTAACGCTCATTGTGTACTTGCCTAATTTCCACTTGGCCTCAGCAACCACCCTTTCTTCCTTAGCACAGTGTAGAGTACTGTGGAGTAGACTTCTAAAAAGAAAATACCATTTCGGTCTAGACTGGCTTTTGGCTGCAGAGTGTTGGCGTTGGCAACACAATTAAAAATAATTCAAAACATTTTAAAAGCAGTACAATTAAAAACAGTGCAGCATCCTGTTGAAATCTCTTTCATTGAGAACATCCTGTTATAAAAAGTCAGTTGGGATGAACAAATGTTGACAGTAAGGAAGATGCCATTCTCGTTTCCTTAGGAAGGTGATTCCAGAACCTAGGAAAGTGGGAATATTCTTTCCAGATGGTCCCACTTGGGATTTTAGTTTTGTTGCATTTTGCAGGCTACTTGGCTTCAGGTTGAAAGAGTTGGAAGTGGAACTGATTGAGTTAATTTGCAGGTACGGTGCAGGATATTGTGTGAATAATCTGGCTTGTGCTTTGCTGGTTACCTGGGAGCATCTTTTGAGGTAAATGAACATTTCCTTAGACATGCTCCTTTATGGCTGCATCATTCTAGGGCAATCAGGACCTTCACATGCACAGTATAGAACAGTGTTTCTCAACCTGGGGGTCGGGACCCCTGGGGGGGTCACGAGGAGGTGTCAGAGGGGTCGCCAGAGACCATCAGAAAACACAGTATTTTCTTTGGTCATAGGGATACTGTGTGGAAAGTTTGGCCCAATGCTATTGTTGGTGGGGTTCAGAATGCTCTTTGATTGTAGGTGAACTATAAATCCCAGCATCTACAACTCCCAAATGTCAAGGTCTGTTTTCCCCAAACTTCACCAGCATTCACATTTGGGCATATTCAGTATTCATGCCAAGTTTGGTACAGATCTATCACTGGGTTGTTGTAGGTTTTGTCAGGCTATATGGCCATGTTCTAGAGGCATTCTCTCCTGACATTTCGCCTGCATCTATGGCAAGCATCCTCAGAGGTAGTGAGGTCTGTTGGAACTAGGAAAAAGGGTTTATATATCTGTGGAATCACCAGGGTGGGACAAAGAACTCTTGTCTGTTGGAGCTAGGTGTGAATGTTTCAACTGACCACCTTGACAATAGCCTTCGACAATAGATCTATCACTCTTTGAGTCCACAGTTCTCTCTGGATATAGGTGATCTACAACTCCCAAACTCAAGATAAATACCCATCAAGCCCTTCCAGTATTTTTTGTAGGTCTTGGAAGTCCTGCATGCCAAGTTTGGTTCAATTCTATCGTTGGTGGGGTTCAGAATGCTCTTTGATTCTATAAATCCCAGCAACTACAACTCCCAAATGACAAAATCAACCCCCCCCCCCCCCCTTCAACCCCACTGGTATTCATATTTGAGCATATCGGATATTTGTGACAAATTTGGCCCAGTGAATGAAAATGCATTCTGCATATCAGATATTTACATTACAATTCATAACAGTAGCAAAATTACAGTTATGAAGTAGCAACAAAAATAATTTTATGGTTGGGAGTCACCACAACATCAGGAACTGTATTAAGGGGTCACAGCATTGGGAAGGTTGAGAACCACTGGTATAGAAGCACTGTTTTTGTAAATCCAGACCTCAAGTCAGCAGTGCCCATAACACTGAAGAAAACAATATAGAGGTTATAATAGTAGAGCTTAGTAACATCACAATTACCTCTATGTACAAGCCCCCAAATGAAAAGTTTTGTTTCTCCTCTCCTGAGAACTTTGATAGGCACCAGAGGACAGTAGCAATTGGTGATTTTAACAGCCATGGCCACCTATGGGGATATACTCAGGAGGATAAAAATGGAGAGACTGTCCTCTCCTGGGCTGAATTGCACAAATTATCACTTATCCAAGATAGTAAGCTCCCACCATCCTACAACAGTGGAGAGACTTATTCTGCATAGAATTATGGAAAAAATAGACCCATGTATGATTCCACAGCAAGCTGGCTTCAGGAAAGGCAAAAGCTGCACATCACAAGTATTGAACCTGAATCAGCAGATAGAAGATGGATTTGAAAGCAGATTACAGGAGCTGTCTTCATAGACGGTCAGCCTTCTCTTGAGAAAAACTTATCATATCACCCACCTCATAGGAAAACTGCTACAAAACAGGAGCTTTTTTGTTGAATTTCAAGGCCAGAGAAGCAGATGGCAAAAACAGAAGAATGGCCTGCCTCAGCGGAGCATGCTTGCTTCATCAATGTTTAACATTTACACAAATGATCAGCCACTGCCAGAAGGGACAGAGAGTTTCATCTATGCTGATGATTGTGCCATCACCGCCCAAACAAGGAGCTTTGAAATGGTTGAATAGAAGCTCTCCAAACCTTTAGGTGCTCTTACTGTCTATTACAGGGAAAACCAGCTGATTCTTAATCCATCTAAAACACAGGTGTGTGCTTTTCACATTAAGAACAGACAAGTATCTCGAGTTCTCAGGATTACCTGGGAAGGAATCCCACTGGAGCATTGCAGCACACCCAAATATCTGGGAGTTACCCTGAACCATGCTCTGGCTTACAGAAAGCACTGCTTGACTATCAAGGAAAAAGTGGGCATTAGAAATAATATCATAAGAAAACTGAATGACACAACCTAGGGGGTCACAACAAGACCCATTGAAGACATCTGCTCTTACGCTTTTCTACTCTGCTGCTGAATACACATGGCCAGTATGGAATACATCTGACTACATTAAAACAGTGGATGTGGCTCTTAATGAGACATGTCAAATTATCACATGATGTCTACATCCCACACCACTGGAGAAATTATACTATTTAGCTGGTATTGCACAACCTGACATCTGCTGGGAAGTAGCAGCCAACAATGAAAGGACCAAGGCAGTGATATCTCTGGCTCATCCCTTGTTCAAATATCAACCACCAC